TTTCTCCTATACCATTAAGAAGATCCTCACGAGTTTGTGCCCCTCCTAAATATCTACAAGAATATCACTATAATCTCTCCACTGCTCAAGGAACTACATCGTTATCAGGTAACTCCTCTTCTGTTAATCATTCCAAGCATTCCCTTTCAAATGTTATTGATTACAGTAAATGCACTAACTCTTACAGACATTTCTGTTTCAATGTTATGATCCATTCTGAACCTAAAACCTATTCCCAAGCCATCAAACACCCTGAGTGGCAAAAGGCTATGACAGATGAACTCTCAGCTCTTGAGTTGAATAGAACATGGTCCATTGTTGACTTACCAGCTGGCAAAGTTCCCATTGGTTGTAAATGGGTATATAAAGTCAAGCTCAAATCCAATGGTGAAGTGGAACGATTCAAAGCACGGTTTGTAGCAAAGGGTTTCACTCAATTAGAAGGTGTTGATTATTTCGACACTTTCTCTCCAGTTGCTAAGCTAACCTCCATTCGTGCTCTCTTGCCATAGCAGCAACCAAAGGTTGGATTCTAGAACAGCTTGACGTGAACAATGCATTCTTGCACGGTGATCTTCATGAGGAGGTCTATATGGAGCTTCCCTCTGGCTTGTTGACTGAGAAACCAAACCAGGTGTGCAGATTAAACAAGTCCCTTTATGGCCTAAAGCAGGAAAGTAGGCAATGGTATAGCAAGCTATCTTCTGCATTACTTTCCTTGGGGTATGTCCAGGGTCATGCTGATCATTCTATGTTCATTTTAAAGACATCATCTTCATTCACGGTCCTACTGGTTTATGTCGATGACATTGTTTTATGTGGAGATTCTCCTGCTGAGATTCATCGAGTTAAAGATTTTCTCCATGCTCAATTCAAGATCAAGGATTTGGGTTCCCTACGTTTCTTCTTAGGCCTTGAAGTTGCTCACACTCCTAAAGGAATTTTACTCAATCAACGCAAGTATGCGTTGGAAATATTATCTGATATGGGCTTCCTTGCTTCGAAGCCTTCACAGTCACCTATGGATGCTAACTCACGGCTCAGTCGTGATCAAGGTACTCCTGTTGATGATCCAGCTGAATACAGACGTCTAGTTGGTCGCTTATTATACTTAACCACTACACGTCCTGATTTGTGCTATGTTGTTCAACAACTCAGCCAATTTGTGGCTCATCCCCTTGACACACATCTTCAAGCAGCACATAAGGTTATGCGTTACATTAAACAAGCTCCTGCTACTGGTATTTTTCTTCTTGCTGATCCCAATATCAGCATTCAAGCTTTTGCATACGCGGATTGGGCGTGCTGCCCTGACACTCGTCGATTTGTAACTGGTCTATGTGTTTACATTAGTTCTTCCTTAATCACTTGGCGATCCAAAAAGCAATCTACCGTATCCAGATCCTCTTCCGAAGCAGAATATCGAGCCTTGGCAATGTTATCTTGTGAGCTTCAGTGGCTTCAATATCTCTTCCTTGATCTGCACCTGCCTTGGGATACACCAGCATCGGTTTATAGTGATAACCGTTCTGCCATTTATTTGGCACACAATCCTGCGTTCCATGAGAGGTCAAAGCACATTGAATTGGATTGTCATGTGACCAGGGAGAAACTTAGTTCTGGTCTTCTTCGTTTGCTTCCTGTTTCTACACGAGCTCAAGTTACTGACATTTTTACAAAACCTTTATCTGTTCCTCGGTTTCGAACTTTCTTCTCCAAGTTGGGACTTCTTGATGTCCATCATCCCACTTATGGGGGGTAATACAGATGTCCATTTCTGATCCTGCCACGTCAGATATACAGATCACAACTTACTCCCAACTAACCATGACAGATCAACATAGTGGTCAAAACTATTAGGATATAGCTTTCTGTTATTTTCTGTTAATCTGTTAATTTAGCTTTTCCCTCTTTATTCTTTATTCTGATTGTACATGGTATATATGTAGATCATCATTCAATGAATAAGATAAGCAATTCACTTTTTCATTTTTCCTCTCAATGAACTCACTGAAGTTCTCTCAATTCTTCGACATGGTATCAGAGCTTGAGCCCTCGCCGCCTCCCACTTTAAAGTGGAATTAAAATAAAAAAAAGCACAAAAGGTAAACCAAAAATAATTGGGCCTTTGCAATTCCACGCTTCTAGCCCAAAGGGCTCTTGCATGAGGGGGCATGTTGAGATATATAGTCCCACATTGGTTAGATGTGCAACTAATGTGGAGTTTATAAGGCCTTGGGCACTCCCACCCTTTGAGCTAGCTTTTGGGGTGATGTATCCCAATGTTCTTTACACTCTGTCTCTCTCTTTTTATGGCATGAGAGTTTATTAGAACCATGGCTATACCTTGCATGTGTTTTTTACTCAACAATATCTATTTACACATTTGCTAGGTTAAGCTCTATTCAGAGATGTTCCGACTCAGTTTCTTAGTTCTTGGTGCTCTTCCTTTTTATAATTATGTTTCCTTTTATAACTATCAATAGAAGTGCAGTATCAATTTCCCTAACTATGGACCATTACCTCTTGAAGCGAATCGAGGCAGATATGCTGGTGAATTAGATTATATATAGTTTGTTATGGACCTATTTCAGGTCCATATATCTTAAGGCCCAATAAAGAACAAATACATGCCAGTGATATAGTGGTCCATATATCCACAGGTAAACTCTATATATAGAGAGAACAAAGCCTACAGGTATTATGACATAATCTCTCTTCCTATTATGTTGTCACTAGGGGTGAAACTGGGCTGGGCCGGCCTACAGGGGCCTACGGCTCGGCCTACGTCAGGCCAAACCTGACCTAGTATATTATGTAGGCCTTGAAAAAGCTTGTTTAATAAATAGGTCGTAGGCCCACTTTCACAAGGCCTGGCCTATAAGCCTACATGCCGATCTATATTTTACTATTTATTTTAAATAAAATAAAATAGAATAAGTATGCCTTGAAGAAAAAATAAAAGATATAAATTCAATCAATTGCAATTATTTATAACTCAATTATATTCGATTATATTTTAATAGAAATTTGACTTTATTTCTTATGTAGGAGAAACCAATATCAAAACATGTTAGATGTTAGATTGTGTATATGAATATATTTAAGATTGTTGGGAGAGTTATACTTACTACAAGCATCATGGTGTGTTTGTTGGATTCATGTAGTTATTTTAATTTACATAGTACGGATTTATTTGTAGGATCTGATGAAATATATGTTATTTAGTTTGACCATTTTGCTTTTGAAAGTGACTTAAATGCATATTGTGATAAGTTTTGTTGTGATTCAGGATTCTGTTTGGACATTGAAATTGTGATTTTTGATTTAGCAACAGAATTTGAGTATTTAGTGAAGTTGATTCATTGTCCTACTTAGAAGTTAAAAATTAACAGGCTAATGGACTAGGCCAGGCCATTTGTTTTTTTTTTATAAACGGGTCAAACCAGACTAACAGTTAGACTCATACTAGGCTTGAGCCAGGCTAAATTAAATTTTTTTGACATAGGCTTGGGCTTTTCGGAGTAAAGTTTGGCCCAGCCCAGCCCACTTTCATCCCTAGTTGTCACATCATCCTATTGGCTAATGCCGTTATTAGTTGCATACAGTGATCTGCTCCCTCAAGTTATCTAATTCATAGATACCTAGAGAGAGTACTTAATCCAACATTGATCTACTAACTCTTGACTAGACACTTCTGTCATCAAGACAGAACACAGTTAGATGGTGAAACATCGTTTGTTTGGTTGTTTGAAAGTGACGACTATCATGCGATGTACTATCATGTTCCTCTAATCTCTTGATGACGGATGATGAATATATTACAGAGTAGCTGCATTTCTTGATGGCATAGAGCAGCTACTACGATGTTTTGTGTTACTTTGTATCCTTGAAATGATAGTTTCGCATTTGACACAATATCAATGTAGAATTTAGTTTTATACTTATTACTATTTGGCCTAGAAATGCCAATTTGTTTCTATTTGTCGGCAGGTTGACTTAAAGGGATCTAGTTAACTTTCTTTAATCATATGTCAACATAGGGTAATTTCTAAATGTCTGAACCAATGATCACCATAGAAAAGCAAATGAAATTTCAGCAAAATAGGTATATGACTTGGTGTAGAAAAAGAGGGGGTGGATTAAAGTTTAACCAAAACACAGCTTAAGTTAAATTTAATACTGGATGCCGAAATTAAGTAATATCCAAAAATAACTTGGTACCATGGTTGTTGAGTAGATGCAAAGTAATTGCCTTGCGTAGTGTGGAGGGTATTCAGTCAGTAAAGAGTGAATCAGTAGAGGAGAGCACTAAGGCACTCTCAAATTGTCTTAGAACTTGGTATCATCATTTCTAGACGTTGCTCTGTATTTCTGCTGGTTTACTGAGGAATTGCTGTGTTGCGGTTATTTTATTCTCTCTTGCTGGAACCTTTACAAATTCCCTGCACCTCTTTCTCTTATAAAAATTTCCACTGTTATGTTAACAAAATGAAAGAATACATATCCTTTTTCACCAAAAATGCAAAAGATAAAATGTCTTAAAACCTTAGTGGGTCCCTTTTCTTTGAAGTGTGAAACAAATCATTATGTACTTTCTTGTGGTTGTAAGGTATTTAGAATGGTTGGCTAATATAGCTCAAATACCAATTCTAACGAAAGGATAGAAGGGTATAGCGACGTATCTTAACAATAAAGATTTCTGCATCAAGCCAAAGGATTATTTTCTATTTTCAGAGTGAAAGTTGAAGAAGTTAAATCACTACTCAGCTTGGTGTGAAATCAAATGCTTGTGCTTCATGGTGCAATTTCCACGTAGCTGAGCCAAAGCATTTTCTTTTCTGGGTTTAGCAACGGGGCTTAAAATTCAAAGCAGAAAAAACAAACAAAACACTAAAGGAAGGATTCAATGAGATTCACCTGTGATCAGCTTAAAATAGGCAGTTCTACGTTCCAACCCCATGACAAAACCTCATTAAGAAATTGGCAAACCAGAAACATGTCAAAATAACATCTATCTCTATGACTAACATCTTTAACAACTGCAAAATGACAGTCATTCAGTACATATGTTGCAGGAACTTCATCAAAACAAAAAGAAATGGGAATCTAGTTGATAATTGGTAATCTCTCTGTAGTTCAATTCATTGTTCAAATAACATAACAAAATTTTTAGCAAGAAACTAAAATTCAATCATCTGCAGCTGTAGAAGAATGATGGGGAAAAGTTGACCACACATCTGACCATGTCCTCTGGCCTTCAGTTACCTCCTTCACAACAATTGCAGCTTTGTCCACATCAACACGCACTTGATCCTTGCTATCCCTCTCCCGTATAGTCACTGATGATGTTGAATCTACAGTGATAGCAAAGGGCACACCAAGTTCATCTGTTCTCGCATACCGTTTTCCTATTGACGTACCTATCAACATTTTTAAAAATTTTAAAACAAACAAATATGTAACATTAACTATTAGGTATTATCACAAAAAAAAAAGGGATAAATCCAACACTACAAAAATTGTGGATGAAAACATGTCACCAACCTTGGAACAGAGTTAAATCCTTCTAGTCAAATTCGAACAAGAAAAAACACTTGAATAAAAGAGCTGAAAGACCAAACTTATACCAAGCCAAAAGCGCAAAACCTGCTCCATAGAAAAAAATCTTCTCCAAAGAACAGGTGCCTACCCCTCATCTGCCCTCCCAAGATTGTATCTTACAAGAAAATTGTTCTCTTTGAAGAATGTAGTTTAAAAGATTTGTATGGTGAGTATTCCCATGCATTTGAGAAAATTATAGATCCCCTAGACAATTATCCAATTGAGATCAATGCTCATGGAGAACCAAGTGAGCTTGTGCTAACCATTCTACCAATAGCATTTCCCAAAGTAACTACGACATTTGCCCATGAAGAAAGAGGGGATTTTTTAAATTATTCACTTTTGAGGAGAAACTCAACTGTAGCACATTTAAAAATCAAAAGATGTTGACAAAAAACATAGACAAACTGACAAACAAAACAAAAAAGTACTGCCTTTAAGAACAAGATCCTCAGAGCCCATAGGGTGCATTCATGCAATCATCCAGGGTAAACAAAAAAAAAATCACAATTAAGCCCGACTAGCGAGTGTGGGGTGGAGGAAATCCTTATACGCAGCCTTACCCTTGCATAATTGCAAAGAGGCTGTTTCCTGGATTCAAGCTCATGACCTTTCAGTCATGAAGAAACAATTTTATCACTGCTCTGGTTCGCCCCCTTTGCAATTATCCATATTATTGAGAACTTCTATTTTAACAACAAACCTGTAATGTCAATCTTATGCGAAATTTTAGCTGCAGTCAATGACTTGGAAATGTCTTTGGCGACCTCTTCATACTTCTGATTCTGAACCAGAGGGAAAACTGTGCACTTAATAGGAGCCACAAATGAAGGGAAGCGAAATACATTTAACTGTTCATCCCCAGCTTTACTTGGCCTCATGTAGAAAGAGTGTTCAAAGAGGCAATAAATTATCCGTCCAATTCCAAAGGATGGTTCAATCACAGATGGTATAAAAACTCGCTGGTGCTCTTTCTTTTTCTCCTTCTGAATGGTCACCATATTCTTCTTAACAGTCACAGTTTTCTCAAGTGTACACACATTAAACTCCACTTCCCCTTTTGATTCCAGTGCAGCCTTCATATCTAAAGCTTCTTCCTCATGCATTGCCTGCCAGAGAAGATTCCATATATGAAAAAATAATGCAAGTAGCACTTTACAAAGAGTCATGGAATTAACAACCAAAATATTACACCATCAATTACCTCAAGTGCTTCAACCACCTTCTTTTGATCCCCTTTGAACGCCAGACCCAACTCTTTCTTTACTGGAGCTATAACCAATTTCTGAACAATTGACAAACCAAGTCAATCAACGATGAGCAAATACTTTTGAGGGTGGTGCATGAAGTCGCAGGGACCAATTATGTATATCCAATCAATAAATCAATACTATTAGAATTAAACAGTACCTCCACTTCCTTAGGTTCTGAAAACTTTTCATGAGCCACTAGTGGAACACCGCTTTTCTCCTGAGGTATCAAATACAAAAGCATTATGAGAATGTGGTACACCACAAAATATAATATTGGAATTTCCTTAGTTGTTTTGATATTAACCAAAATACATTGTATCCCCACGTGATTTGATTTTTTGTGAAAATATTACTTTTTTCAGTTAAAACAATAAACTCCAAAAACTTAAAACCGATCTTCAAGTTGAGTTAAGTGAAAATAAACAAACTCCAGTGGAGGTCAAGTGATAAAGAAAAAGTTTGTTTTGGTAATCGTAAGGCCACTTGTTATGCACATACCTTATATTTTGTTTGTTTTAACTTGGAAATTAACATTTTTCATTATAAAATGAAAACTTACTAAGAGGATTAAGTCAAGAAAAGACTATCTTCAAGGAGGTAAATGTGTTTTACACTATCAGATAAATGAACATCATCGACTGAATGCAGGTAATATAACAAGGGCATTCATTCCAGGTTCCTGAGTCCTGATCTAAGGAAACCGATTTGAACTATACAAACCAAACAATTTACCCACTAGAATTGTGGTGTATTGATTTATAAAAGTTATGGCAAAGAATACAAATAATTAGAGTGATTACCGAGTGAGCATTCAAGTCATATGCAGATCTATCGGCAATGCCAACACACTCAATCCAGCCATAGGAACACTCAATCTCAGCATCCCAACAGTCACCAGCATAATGGGCCATCTCATTTTTAAGGTGTTGCCTAAATCTTAAACGGTCTTTGTCTATACCAAGACTCGTCAAGAAAAGATATACTCTCCCGATGAAATAACCAAGAGTCTCATTATTGACAATTCCCTGACCAAAAGATCAAAAAGGAAAAAATTAAAAAAAAAAAAAAAAAGCATCACAACATGTGACAATGACAAACAAGAAGATAACTAGAAGAAACTATTTTAGTTCAAACTGACCTTTGAGACAGCTTCACCAAGACGAATGTTCTTTGCAGGCGGAGGGGGCTGTTTCACTTGTTCCTCCCTCGGGAACATCAAAAACTTCAAGTCAGCAACTTGTGAGAATTTTGGATGAGATTTATCTTCTGGATCAACAAAGTGCTCAATTTCTGCTAGCGTAAATTCACGGACTCTGAGAAGGCCTTGGCGAGGAGATATCTACACATAACATAACATAAGATAACATAACCCAATTATTCCACAGAGATCAATAATGAAGGAAAGAAAAAAGGTAAAGGATTACAAACCTCATTTCTAAACGCCTGTCCAATTTGTGCTGCAGCAAATGGGAGTTTGTTCCCATTGTAATAATACAAGTCCTTGAAATTCACAAATATGCCTTGTGCAGTTTCGGGACGCATAAACCCAACACTAGCGGCATATGGTCCAATTGATGTTTGAAACATCAAATTGAAAGGATATGGATCAGAGAGTGGATTGTTTGTGTCTGGAGCTGTAATTCCATACTCCTTAATCTTAGCACCAAGCTCTTCAGCAGAGAGATCATCTAAAATGGCCAACACATGCTTGAGTTCCGCAGCCTCATTGGATGATATGGTGAGGTCTTTCTCAAGCTTGTTTTTGCAAAAATTCTTCAGCAAGTGATCAGCACGGTGACCTGTCCCAGTTATCTCATCCTTAACCATCAGATCAGTGAATTTTTCAAGGTGACCTGAAGCCTTAAACACAATTTCGGGCGTCAAACAAGGGCAATCAACTTCCAGCATGTTCTCTTCCAGGACGAAATGCTCACGCCAGAACCCTAGCACGTTTGATTTCACGGCGCAACCTGGAGGGCCATAATCGTAGAGCCCCGCAACACCACGATAAATCTTGAACGAAGGGATGTAGAACAAACGCCTCTCAAGAGCGTTCGCCACCGATTGACGGAAAGCTTCCCGGTTGTCGGCGCCGCCTGAGCCGGAGAATGCATGCAGGTCTTTCTCGATGGAAGACTTTCCCAGCTTGAGTGCGTTTAGGGCTTCCACGGCCGCTTCGATTTCGGACTTGGAGGCGGCGCCGCTGGCCTTGAGGGCGCGGACGGCGTTGCCTTGGGCTTCCACGGCGGATTGCTTCTCGGCGAGGGCTTTGCGGAGGGATTCTTCCGTGGCGGCGGCCATGGACGACGACGAAGATGAAGAAGCAGAGAAAATTGAAAGCGAAAACGAACGCGAACGCAATGGAGATATGGTTGAAACTACTCCAAGTCTCACTCTCAGTCTCACGAAATGCCAAAGCATAACATTCCCTACTATGGACTAGGTTAACATTACAGATAATTCTAATTTTATAAATATTAATTCATCGGTTTGATGTTTGTTCTTCTAAATGACATAAGTTATCTCATTTTAAATGACATAAGATATGTCATTATAAGAGAAAGATAGACACAAAAAATAAAAATCATTGAAGAGAGAGTGGTTGATATTTAAATTCACTTTCTCTCATGATTTCTATTTCTTGTGTCTATCTCTCTCTTAAAATGACATAATTTTATGTCATTTAAAATAGACAAATATTTTTTCCTTAATTCCCTTAATTCTATTAGTATTCAATTAAGAATCTAAATGATTGAAAAGAAGTCACGTGGTATTGATTAGAATAATTTTAAAAGATTATTATAATACTTTTTAGTGAGAATATAGATAGGATGTCTCTCACAATATCACCCTAACTCTTAGGATTTTTTGATATTTCTCTTTTTAAGATTTTTTGATATTTCTCTACGTGCTTCTTTTTCCCGGTGCGGGTCGACTCGTTCAAAACCGGGTTCCACTATGAGAGCTATATCAAATCTCAAAACAAAAGATTCTTTAGCCATTTTATTACGAAACAACCCAACAAGATTCTAATATATTCTATCTCAAAAGTAGTCGATTTTTTAGCTATTTTTAAGAGCTTTTGGAAGTTTAATAATTTTTCAAGTTATGGGTCGCTTTTTTCTTGACACAAAAATGTGTGATTTTTGTATTAAAACAACATAAAACAGTGGAAAAATAACTGGGCTACGCATTCTTTCAAGTTATGGGTCAAGTTATGGATCGGCAGCAATCGGACCGAGCTCCGAACCTTGTGAGAGGTACCGTTTCTATTGGTAGTCGCAGTGGCGGACCGACGTGGGGTCAAATGACCGCACGTGCGAACACAGGAATTTCAATTTTAATTTTTTTTTTTTTTTACTTTCTCTTCATTAGCTGATAGTTCCTCTCACCTACACTTTCTCTTCATTAGCTGAGTTTCTCTGACCTACACTTCCTTTCCAACGAGCCATTGTCCACAATAGAGTTGAGGATAGACGAAATAGAAGACGAGAAAGGTGAGAAATCTGTTACCATTTTATATTGCTGTAATTGTTACTTTAGAAAGTGGGTGAGAGAAAAACAAAATATTGGGAATTTTTTCATTCCATAATCAAGATTAAAATGCTCATTTTGGAACAGTTTAACACCTTTTTATTTTTTTTGTTAATATTGGTAGATCTTACTCAATGAAACAGGTCCCCTGCTAGAAACACCAGAAACACCCTCTCAATAACTTCCTCCTCTTTATTTTCACCGTTACTTTAGCTTTCGCTGTTGGATTGACTTGTGCCTTTACTAGCGGTAACATCTCAAAAATCTCTGTTCTTCCTGTATTATTTTTTTGTGAAATTATGTTATATTATTTCGTTTGACTGTGATATGAATTCATCATATATGCATATGTTGCATTTTTATACGTTTAACTATGATTTTGAACTTGGTAGAAAAAAAAGTTCTTGTTAATTTGATTTTAGAACTGTGTAACTTGTTTGGTCTGCTTTGGTTAGATGTGGTTAGTTACTTGACATTTGAGTTATTCTGTATACTGAATTCTGATAGCATTTCTAGTTAGGCATGCATGGAGGAGGAGATCAACCTGTTTGTTGTTACTTTTTATTTTAAAGGTTACTTCAGTTTAGGCTCTTGGATTTTATTAGATCAAAGCTACTGCTGAAGATTATAATACAATCTTAATGAGTGGATGGTTTCCATCATGATATCCTTTTATATTGGTTACTAAGTTTTTAAATTATTTGGTATTTGGTACTATTGAATGGATGTTTATTTTTCTGTACCCTCACAGGTTTTGGTTGATAACTTTGGTTGATTCTCCAAAGCTTTACTTTTGAAGTGGAGGTAAAAATTGGATCATGATGTTGAAACATTGAGAGCATAAACAATTGTGGGTTCATAATAATTGTTATAATGAAAGGTAACTTTCTATATTTTTGTTATAATTGTTTTAATAACAACAAATGGTATAATTTATATTTACTTTAGATTTTTAGGTTGTCATTGTTTCAATAACATAATGAGTATAATTGATTTAATTATATATTATGATTTGTCAGGGATACAATCTTATTTCAAACGTAAAAAATGCACAAATACAGAACCCGAATCCTATGAACCTCAGAGACAAAATGTTTCAATTGTGGAAAATTCTCCTCAATCTCAAAGACAAAGTGTACCACCACAAGCATCTCAATTTCAAAGTTTTCAATCACCACTTGAAGCAAAAATTAATATAGAATATCTTGAAGCGGATCCGGGAAAAGACCTTCAATTTATTCAATGACATCAAATCCTATAGAGAATGAGGATATTCTGAGAGCTTATTTGCTCAAGGGTCCAACTCAACCAATTCTTAAACCATTCCCTCAAACGAAAATGTTTGGAAAAATGCGTAGATTCAATCCTAAGTGGTATGAAGAATTTGGTTCTTGGTTGGAGTACAATGTATCACGAGATGCATGTTTTTGCTTGTATTGTTATCTATTTGATATGGAGGTTAGAGGTAGTGGTTCGGCGAAGGAGGCATTTGTCGGTGTGGGGTTCAAAAATTGGCAGAAGAAGGATAGAATCAAAGTTCATGTTGGAGATCATAGGAGTGTTCACAATGGATGTTATCAAGCTGGTCAAGATTTGATGAAGCAAAAGCAACATATTGATATTGCCTTTTCAAATATCTCTGAACAACAAAGAATTGATTACCGTATTCGGCTGAAAGCTTCTTTAGATTGTGCTAGGTACTTACTACGAAATGGTCAGCCTTTTCGGGGACATGATGAATCTGAAAGTTCAAATCAACAAGGTTTATTTCTTGAAACTCTAAAGTTTTATACTAAGCCAAATAAGGAGATGAGTCATGTGGTCTTGCAAAATGCCCCCGATAATCACAAAATGACTTCACCAAAAATTCAGAAAGATCTTGCTCAAGCTTGTGCTGATTTAACTGTTAAAGCAATAATTAGTGATCTCGGCAATGATTACTTTTCCTTGCTTGTTGATGAAGCTCGTGATGTTGCAATTAAAGAACAAATGGCAGTTGTACTTCGGTATGTAAACAAAAAGGGATCCATTGTTGAATGTTTTATTGGCATAATTCATGTTTCAGATACTACTGCAAAATCACTAAAAGCAGCGATTGATGGGCTGTTTTCTAAACTTGGTTTAAGTTTGTCTAAATGTCGCGGTCAAGGCTATGATGGTGCTAGTAATATGAGGGGTGAATTTAAAGGGCTTAAGAGTTTGATTTTGGCAGACAACAAATCTGCATTATACATTCATTGTTTTGCTCATCAGTTACAATTGGCACTTGTGAAGGTTGCAAAACATCACAAAAAGATTCAAGAATTTTTTGACATGCTTCAAAAGATGGTTACCGTTGTGGGGGGTTCATGCAAGCGGAAGGAAATTCTTCAAATGAATCAATATGAGCATATAGTTGAAAGAATTGCTCGCGGTGAAATACCAACTGGAAAAGGTTTAAATCAAGAGACAACCTTAAAGCGACCCGGAGACACTCATTGGGGTTCCCATTTTGGTACAGTTACAAGTGTTATCTCATTATTTTCTCCAATAATTTCTTTGATGAAAATTATTGAAGACGAGCCTAGGAATGATGCTGCAAGAACTGATGCAGGTTGCATTTTGTATGCCATGGAGGATTATGAGTTTGCATTCTTGTTGCATCTTATGCAACTTATCTTGGGGATTTCTTATGAGTTGTCACAAGCACTACAAAGAAAAGATCAAGACCTTTTAAATGCAATTGGTTTAGTGAAAGTTGTCAAGTCTCGTTTACAAGAGGTCAGAGATAATGGTTTTGATGAATTGCTTCAAGAAACGAACATTTTTGCAAATAAATATGATATTGACATTCCAAATATGGAGGATATTTATTATCCTAAAGGGAGATCAAGACGGAGATTGGAATCATTCACATTCATGCACTACTTTAAGGTGGAGTTATTTAATAGAGTGATAGATACTCAGGTTCAAGAGTTGGGTGATCGATTTGATAATGTCAATACCAAGTTGCTTGAGTGTTTGAGTTGTCTTGATCCTCGTGATTCATTTGCTAGTTTTAACAAAGAAAATTTGATTGAGTTTGCTAGATTTTATCCTTTGGAGTTTAATGAGCTTGCAGATATTCCTTTTCTTTCTTCAAGTCTCGGTAATTTTATTGTTGATGTAAGAGCTGATTCTGATTTTGTCAATTTGAAAAGAATTTCCGACCTTGCTTTGAAGATGGTCGAGAAGAGAAAGGATATTGTTTATCCATTGGTTTATTTGTTGATAAAGTTGGCACTCGTTCTACCGGTAGCAACTGCTAGTGTGGAGCGAGTTTTTTCTACAATGAGTTTTGTTAAGGATAAGTTGCGCAATCGGATAAGTGATGATTGGTTTAACGCATGCATGCTAACTTATGTTGAACGTGATATATTTGATAACATTGATGATGAAGATATAATGCAATATTTTCAAAGAATGAAAAATCGAAGAATGCTTTTGTAATCTTCTACTACCAACGTGGTACTAGCTTCTATTATTTTTGTTGTTATCTGGTATTTTTTATTTTTTTGCTTTAATTTTTTTGCTTTATATCTTTGACTCAGTAGTCGGGTTTAATTGGGGAATGGCTTTTATATCCTCTAAAGGTAACATAGATATTGCTTTCTAATACTTCTTGCAATTCATGGGCTACAGTTCCACTTCATTTGCGGAGAGACTTGTTGCTTTTGCATGTATTGAAGGAATATTTTTCTCAAGAAGGTATTTTTCAACTTATAGGCTTTTTCTTTGTTTCTTAATGTGAGTTATAATGAGTCTTGTCCTACTTTCTCTGTGACCTTTTTTTATTGGGGTTTGCTTTCAGCTTTGGTGCTATATTCTAGCTTAAAAAGAGAGGATTGACTGGAGTTAATCTCAAATAAGTTA